AAAAAGAGGAGGGAGGGAGGGGGGGGGGGGGGGGAGGGGGCAGGGAGGGGGACAATGGGGGGGATAAGAAATGAGTGTAAAGTGAAAAAAAATTTAAAAAAAAAAATAAAAAAAAAAAAAAAAAAAAAAAAAAAAACAGTCTGTTTTCTCCTGGCTGCTTCTAGTAGAACAGGAGAAGAGAGACATGATGTAAATATGGAAATTTCCATCCAGTCTTGGGGGCAGCAGTTTGCCCCATGTCCTCCTTCCTTTTATGGGTCCAAGAAGAGTTATTTTTATCTGTTCATTTTTTTACCTTTCATTAGAATGAAATGGCAACTTTCAAGATCCTTACATGTGGAACTGGAAACCACAAATCCCCATTCTAAAATCTGTCAAATTATGAGGCACCTGGGTGGCTCAGTTGGTTAAGCGTCCAACTTCGGCTCAGGTCATGATCTCACAGATTGTGAGTTTGAGCCCCGCATTGGGCTCTGTGCTGACAGCTCAGAGCCTGAAGCCTCCTTCAGAGTCTATGTCTCCCCCTCTCTCTGCCCCTCCCATGCTCATGCTCTGTCTCTCAATAATAAATAAAAATGTTAAAAAAATATTTTTAAAGACCTGTCAAATTAGCAATTAGATGGCATTAAGTATATTCACATTTTTTAAAAAGTAGTTTCCATGCCCAGCATGGAGCCCAATGTGGGGCTTGAAGTCATGACCCTGAGATCAAGAGTTGGAAGCCTGACTGAGCCACCTAAGCATGCCATGTATATTCACATTTTTATGGAATTATCACCACACCCTAATTCCAGAACTTTTCTACCACCCCAAAGAGTAGCCCATGCCCATTAAGGAATCACTCCCCATTCCTCCAACTTCCAGGCTGTGGCAAAAACTAATCTGTTTTCTGTCACTGTAAAACTCTGATAAACAAATCAATGAAAGACTAAATAAATGGAGAGATAATCCATGTTTTTCAATGGGTAGACTCAATAGTCTCAAGACATCGGCTGTTCCCAATTGATGTACAGATTTGGAGCAACCCTAGTCAAAACCCTAGCAAGTTGCAAAATGATTCTAAAGCCCATATGGGGAGACAACAGACGCAGAATAGCCAATGCAGTATGGAAGGAGGAGAAGAAATTTGGAGGCCTGACACTATGTGACTTCAAGACTTCTCACAAAGCTGGAGTAATCAACACAAGGCTATATTAGTGGAAGAACAGACCAGTAGAGGAGTGGACTTGTCATGAGCACCGGCAGAGGTAGGGAAGTGTTGAATATACTACACCTGAAACTATACGTAACTAATATAACACTGTATGTTAACTAACTGGAATTAAAGTAAAATTTAAAAAATAATAGACCGATAGATCCATGGAACAGAATAGAGAGCCCAGGAATAGACCCCCTCATAAATGCAGTCAGCTCATCTTTGACAAAGAAGCAAAGAAAATACAATGGAGGAAAGATGGTCTTTTGAGCAAATGGTACTGAGAGAACTGGATATCTGTGTGCAGGAAAATGGATGTAGAAGTTGACCTTACACCCTTCAAAAAAAGTAACTCAGCAGGGCCCTTGGGTAGTTCAGTTGGTTAAGCATCTGACTCTTGGTTTCGGCTCAGGTCATGATTTCACAGTTCATTGAGATCGAGCCCTGTGTTGGGCTCTGCAGTGACAGCTCAGAGTCTGCTCGAGATTCCCTCTCCCTCCCTCTCTCTCTGCCCCTACCTGCTTGCTCTCTCTCCCAAAATAAACAAACAACAACAAAAACCTAAAATTTAACTCAAAATGGACACAGACCTAAACGTTAAGTGAAAAATTATAAAACTCAGAGTACATAACTTGAGAAAACCTTGATAACCTTCGATATAATGAACACTTTTTAAGCAAAACAAAAGATAATCCATGAATGAAATTATTTATTTATTTATTTTTAATGTTTATTTTTGGGAGAACACAAATGGGGGAGGGGCAGAGAGAGGGGAACGGAGGATCTGAAGTGGGCTCTGCGCTGAAAATCTGACAGCAGCCAACTCGATGTGGGGCTCAAACTCACAAACTGAAAGATCATGACCTGAGCTGAAGTCAGATGCTCAACCGACTGAGCTACCCAGGTGCCCTAATTTATAAGCTAAACTTCATTAAAACTAAACACGTCCTGGGCACCTGGGTGGCTCACTCAAGTAAACATCTGACTCTGGGTTTTGGCTCAGATCATGATCTCAAGGTTCATGAGATTGAGCCCCACATCAGTCTCTGTGTTGATAGCATAGAGCCTGCTTGGGATTCTCTCTCTCTCTCTCTCTCTCTCTTTCCCTTACTCACTCTCTCTTTCCCTCACTCTGTGTGTATGTGTGTGTGTGTGTGTGTGTCTGTGCCCCGCCCCTGCTCTCTCTTTCCAAAAATTTATTTTTAAAATTTATTTATTTTATTTATTTTAAAAATTTATTTATTTTTAGAAATAAG